CTAGGCCTTAAAACTCTTCTAGATTCTAGACCTTAGAATCCCTCTAGATTTCTAGGACCAATCAAGACTTCAAATCAATTCTGACTTCAAGTCAATTCATACCTTAATTCAATTCAAGCCTCAATAAAAAAAACTAGACTTCAGTCAAGTTCAAAATCCAAACTTCAATTCAAACCCTGATCCGTCTCTATCAAACTTTAATCATATCCTATCACTCATGATCATCCCAAATGATCATAAATGATATGGATAATTCAAATCCAGTCATTCAAACCCAAAACCCAATTCAAATCCTGAAATCCAGACCAAAATCCAAGGCTAAAGGTTCAAGCCCTAAAAGGCTTTTCCAAAGATTTTTCAAACACTTCAAACCCACTCAAGTAACCTCTGATTCAGTCTATCAATTTCACAATGATAAGACATGTCTCTAGAGGTAACCCTCCAAATTTGAGCTCATTCTGAGGTCTCTAACCCTAGAAATTAAATTGAAATCTAAAGGCTGTAAAACCTACAAATATTTACAGCCTATGCCACTAGACCTACCATCCAGTGGATCTTGGCCTTAGAGCTTTCTCCAAAGCCTCTAATCACTTCCAAACCATTAATCCTGACCCATTGAGCATTAAACTGCATTTTGTTGGACCCATTTTGACCCCTACTTGACTAGGGTCAAAAAGACCAAAATGCCCCTTAAGGGCAATATCAAAGTTTTCTCCAAACTTTAATATGCCTTTTTTAAATCAAACCCCAAAACATATTTCAATGCATCCTAATCTATCAATCTCATTTTTGTGTTTAGAAACATCCTCTAAACCTTCCCTATTCTTATCTTAAAGAATTTTGAGTTTTCATAAAACCCTAGATTTCTCCCTTAGAGAAAACTCCATAAAAGAATTAGAAATCTCTTATAAACCACATATCTTAACCTTCCTTACGATTTCCCTTCAATCCTCTTCGTAAACCGCCACCAGAAATCGCCCCTTAAGCCTCCGTCACCACTCCTACCCGACGCCTCTTTCTCTCTCTCTCGTTCGGTTCGAGACGCAAGAAGAAATGGGGACCGAAACATTTCGGTCTCCTATTTAGAGTGGAAGGCTCATTTTAATTGCCTAATGTCCAAAATGCCCTCACTTAAGTTATTTCCACTAAAATGACAGCAAAGGGCAAATCCATCATAATGAAACTTCGATAGATTTCTACTTCCAAAATACAAGAAATTCAATATGGGTTCTTTATGCCGATTCGGTCAGAATTTTGCGTACTATTTTATAAAATTTATTGTGTTGAATTCCGACAACTTTGAAATTTTGACTAATTTTGTCGCGGCGCATCGAATGCGCGCGACACTAAAGATCGTTACTTTTCGGGTTTTACGAGTGAGTTGAGGCTCGGAAGCAAAAGACCTACAAGTTAAGGCTTCTAAGAAGACAGATAATCTATGCTTAACATGGTCAATTGGTCACCTTATCTTGATAAATCACCTTTGCAAGCTAAAAGGAAATTGTGAACCTTTAAGAAAAAAAATCATATCTATCCTAAAACATTACAATCCAACAAAAAAGATCTTGGAACTATAATCCGTTATCATATTCACTCTCCACCTATTCTTTCTCAAGAATCAATAACATGAACAATAAAAGCCTAGCCCAAAAAAGGCAACTCCCCCCTTTGCAAAAGTCTCTTATAGCTGGCAAGTAAGATAGCTTACCGCAAAGATTTAGGTCTAGCAAAAGGTGAGGTACAACTAAGGCGACAATGAACAAAACAAGTAATTAAAAACAACTTGGCCGAAATGATAACTCACCACCTTTGAGATAAGATTTGCAGTAAATAGATCATCAGTCCCTTCCAACTGATGAGTCTAGGTGTGTGGCCCTACAAAGACTCAAGGCTTGGCAAAAGGCACCCATGCACGTGAGCTGAGTTCTAAATAAAGTACAACATCCAACTTAGACATAATTACGAGCGAGTGAATGGTGCTTCCCATATTATCAGCTATGCATACAAGGAATATGAAGCAAGACAGAGACCCTGTGCCTTTTGCGACTCAGAGTGGCCTTCTTCTCTTTTTTGTTATTGTTCTTCGTTGAGGGTTCAACAAACCCCTTTTCTTTTCCCATGAGATGTTTTCGAAGGGCAAGGAGGCTTTTATAGAAAAATATAAAATCAAAACTCGAGGAAAGAGTCACATCCGCCAAAAATGAGCAAATCTTATACATCTCTTATAATTATGGAAAGATCAACTGGTTCTCAGTAGGGCCGAAAAGAAGAATCACCACATGTAATAAAGTATAATTAATACATATCATTAACACAAAAAAATAAATTTCACATAAATACATTAACTCATCAACTAAGTGAGTGCAAACAAGTTTTTACATATTTCATTACATGATTAATTTAAATCTCACCCCCTAGTGAACATTGTGCTAAACCTTAATACTTGAACCACTCATTGGATGAACAGTATGCTCTCAAACATCAGAGAGAAATGGCGCAAGATGAAGGAACTCCTGAGTGAAAGGATCATTAGGCATACCGAGTTATATCCTTCATCTCAGAGGACATGCCAGTCCTTACTACAGGAGGGGCCTCAAGAAGGATTTTCACCTGGTGACCTGCCACATGCTCCACTTGTCGCACAAGGGTCGCACTTGTCATATTTAGTGCTTGGTTAGGCAACATTAATTCCTTATCCAAAAGACTAAGAAAAACCTCTATGAGTCGGGTTTAAAGATCCTACAACCTAATATGCAGACTAAACACCTTCTTGGTAAAGGTTAAGGCTTCAAACTCAATAGACAAATAACCAAGAAATTGCCCAAATATAAAGGAATTTGAGGTTCATTAGAGCACTATAACATTGAGCACCGAAACAAGAACACGAAAAAAGAAAAACAACTCATTTTACCTCCACTGACAACTCATTGTAGCCCAATCTCTTCCAACATGGGATACTGGCTACTTGTTAGACTCGCTTGCTAGTAAGATCAAATAGGATAAGCTAATGAGTAAAATATATTAAATTGTTCGTAAAACAATATTACCTCAATTGGGCCAGTTGTCTCACCCACCAAGGGAGTTGGCCTGGAGTCACTAAGCCAACTACCTGTGGTGCCACAATGGCTATCTCATACACCAACTCAACGACCTTCAGAATTATGGAAAATACTATAGATGCCAGTGAATTCTTTAGCTAGAGAGATGTGTTTAATCAGCCTCTTTATGAGGGGCTTCCTCTAAAATTAAGAGGACTAGGTTTCTTTTGCCTCATTGAAGTTGGCAACAAACACTTTCTTCTCTTTTGCCTCTACTGGATAACTAGACTTCTATCCCTCAACCTCTTCCTTCTTGCACTTACGGTGAAGGGCCCTCCACAATTTATGGTTATTGACATCGCCAAATTTTGAAGGGAGGACCGACTCAATCATTCTTCGTGCAAAACAAGAAGTCAAGGGAAAGTGAGAGTATGATCCAAGAAATGCTCAACACCTCCATTTATAGGCAATGGCATTACAATAATCAAATCAACAGTATTAGGAGAATCCTAGACAATGTGATCTTCCCAAGTAAAGAATAAATATAAGGGTAGAAAGTTTTTATCAACTTTTCCGATCTCTACTAATCGATCAGAATAATAACTGCTCTGTTTAATCTAATTCAATTGGCATTTTTGCAAGTTGCTCTCCAAAAGAGCAAGAGAATAAAAGAACTAGATATACATCCCAGTATGCAGATACAAACATCGATCAGGGATAAATCCAAAGGCATGCTCGACTAAGGCATGCTCGGCTCAAAGAGGAACCTTCCTAGCAAGATTCATCCAGGGTAGGCAGTTACCACTGGGAAAACTCACTCCAGGGGACCTCAACCAATAAATTACAAGTCTCGAATAGTTTTGAGGAATGAACTCACCTCAGCAGACCTCAACCCATGATGGTACTGCATGAACAATATAATCATACTAGAAGAACTTGCCTGTTTAAGGAGATCAAAATATAGGAGCTTGCCTCCACAAGAGGACTACTCACCCCATCAATAGGACACACTCACCTATTCAGACTAAGCTATAGAGACAATGCCATGCTCAATCAGTGCTTTGATTTAGAAAGCACTCACCAAAGGCACTCGCTAGAGGCATTCTCCATGATCCAAGCTAAGCTAGATATGGCAGGACATTATTTATCCTATTTAATCAATGTGTATGTAACACACAAATATTTAATTATTTTATTCCTTTTTTTAGGTGTAGCTTCTCAACCCTATAAAAAAAGTAACGAGAGGCATTTTTGGGACTTTTATAGCTACCAAGGCTTACAACATTGAATATAGAGCCCTTATTCTTCATCTCTCTTTCTTTAACTGTCATCGTCTTAGCTTGATCTTGATAGTAAGGTTAAGATCTCTTTCATTAATAAATTTGGATTAAACATTAATGTGTCACAAGAACAATTAAAACATATGGACAAGGATTGCAAGAAGAAAATATATTAACAGTTGCTAAACTACAATCACAGATTATAGTGAATATATAGAGCATGAAGATACAATGGTTATTCCAATATCAACTATAGTTACATTGGTATAACCCTAAAATAAATTAGAAGTGCATGAAGCTTTAACCAGAAATTCTGCATCTTCCTAGGTTGAGCATATGATGAGTTATCAAGCCAATGCAAGAAGCAACAAATTAGCACACACAAATGAACATATAGAAGAATAATAGATGAATCTCACTGACCACATGAACCACAAAATTACAGTGGCCAATATGATCTAATTTAGTGACCATAACTAGATTTACTGATTGTACAGTAATTGAATTAGATCATCAGATTTTGCTAACAGCCTAAAACCATTCAAGTGCTTACAGGTAACTAATATGCTAAGATAAATGTGAAAATCAAGAGAAAATAAGCCGAAGGAAATAAAATAATGTTAAAAACGTAAAAGTAAAAGTTCCAATGATAGGGACTGATTTACATTCAGGAATGTCTTACCGTTGCAACTGCAGCATGACTGATGTTAATAACATCAACAACCGAAACAATTTTCCCATCTGTTAAATATCCATTCACCAAAAAATTAAATAAAAAAAAAAAACATGTAATAAAATTGAAAAGGAGATGGATGAAGGCAAGCTAGTCTGGGGCATAGGAATCTGTGCATGTGATTACCTCTATCAACAACAGGAAGATGAAGAAATTTCCCCTCATACATTGTATGAAGAGCATCGACAATAGGCATATCGATAGTTCCACATGCAGGATTACAAGTCATAACCTATAAGTTCAAGCAATGATAAAACTGTTCACATAGCTAAAACAAAAAGATACCAAATCTCGGATAAAATATTATGAAAAAATGTAATGCTTCATGGTTTCAATGAGAGCATGATATTCTGCACAATGCAATTTATGCTAATATTTTAGTCCACTTTTAAGTCCTTTTATCTAAGGCAAGGATACAGATGCAACCTTTTCAACCTTCAAAACTGAACTGAAATGTGGTATGAAATCCAACAATCACACGAACCATTAATACTTCATATGAGGGTGTTAAATCAAAATGAGGTATAATGTCAGATCCTGCAACGTGGTTGGACTTGGTAATACAAATATAACGATGTAAAGGGCACTCCTATAAATATAATTTTTCTTTTTGGCATTCCGTACTCTACCTTATGTATAAAATTAAATATGTTCACACACATAGGATATATATATATATATATATCCTAGTTAATAATTTAAAATATTTTGAAAAATTAATAGATTTAACTCGAAGGTTGGAATTGTGGGTGAATTCTATCATTTCTAATTAGATTTGAACTCAGCTTGATTTTCAATGGCTTTCAGAATGAATTAACCCTAGAAAAGTGGCTAGTATTTATGAATTTGATGCCTTATCAATTTTAACTACCCAAGTATCCGCTATATCTAAAAAATAGATAATCTTGGAATAGAATCACCTCAAAAGTCACCTATAAATCAAGACGAAAAATATTGGTTGAGTTTCTAGTGATCCTAATAACTCAAGGGTAGAATCAATTAATGCAATAAATAATAGAGCTAATAATCCCTACTTTAACACTTAAAATCATGGCTAGAGAAATCAACCAAATTTTAATTAGAATAATATTCAAAATAATAATACTAATTGGAACTCTTACTAGCCAAATAAAATAGGTAACTAAAACCAACAACCTCAAAATTTTATTAACCCTAAGCCAAATTATCCTCCTGTATTTAAGGCTAATAATCAACCTAAGGATAAGAAGTCTTCCTTAGAGGAATTATTTTTATAAATGGGGACTTAATTGCAAAGTCAAGCTACTACTATTAGAAAAATTATTGAAAATTAATAAGGACAGTTAGCTGAATCTTTAACTAATAAACCCCAAAAAACTTTACCTAGCAATAGCGAAATTAACCCTAAAGAAAAAGGTAAAGAGCAATGCAAACCTATTCACTTAAGGAGTGGAAAAAAGTAAAGGAGTGCACTAGGTAGATCAATATGAGGAGGTTATTGTAGAAAAATCAGTATACGTGCCCAAACCTAAGTAACCACCTCAACCTGAAAAAGAAAAAAAAAACTTGTTAGAGAGGTAGTTGAAAGACCAGCACCACCACTTCCCCAAAAAATTATAAAATAAAAGTTGGATAAGCAATTCTCAAGGTTTTTAAAAATCTTTAAAAAAAATTAATTATAAACATTCTATTTGCTAAAGCCTTAGAACCTATGTTTATCTATGTCAAATTCATGAAAGACATCCTTAGCAAGAAAAGAAGATTAGGAGATTTTGTGATCATAGCATTAACTGGGGAGTGTAGTACAATTCTGCAGACGAAGCTTTCTCAAAAGCTTAAGGACCCTGATATCATTTATATAGCTATAATGGAAAAATATGCGGAAGAGCATTATATGATTAAGAAACTAGTATCAATTTAATGCCCTTGTCTATTTTCAAAAGACTAGATATAGGATAAATCTAGCCTACCATTATTACCATTCAATTACCAGATTGTTCATTTACCTATCCTAACGGGGTAATAGAGGATGTATTAGTTATGGTAAATATTATATTTCAAGTAGATTTCATCATCTTCGATATGGAAGAAGACAAGGATATATCTGTTGACCTCATTTTTAGCTGATGTCGGTAGAACATCAACCTTTGAAATCTACTTAAAATCTAACACAATTGAACCCATTTAAGCTCCTAAAGGGACATGTACAACTAGCTTTCTCTTAGGTCAAAGGTTGACTTAGTCAACTCATACCAAGAATGGTCAAATCAGCCTAACCTAGGTCAAATCCTTGTATGCAGCCAATTAACTTGCCTTGATCACTTAAACGTAACCCAATAGAGCCCCCTAAACATGCCTAGACCATGGCCTGGTCCATTCGTCATGAGTTGACTTCACCTCATATGAAATGGTCAATATAGCTTTATTTGGGTCTCATGCTTGTAAACATTAAATTTGTGGGCTCTAATCCCCTAAATCGAGCCTAATTACCTCTAGAGGTTCCCTAAGGTCTATATCCTAGCTAGCTTGATCATGTTTGACAAGTAAAAGTGGTCAAATTCTCAAGTAAGTTCACAAATGGTCAAAGCACTAAACCAACTCGTTCCCCTCTACACAACCAACTTTGGGTTGTTGGAAATGATTCCTAGAAGCTTCCTACAAAGCATAGACCTGGCCCTGGCATGGATATGGATTGACCCAATGGTCCCCGCACAACCCAACATCGTTTTCTTACTTTCCAGGCCACTCCCTGCCGAGAGCCTACACCCTAACCAATCTAAAACACGTTTGGACATCCTAGCCAGCCTCCCTCATGAATCTCAGCCTTCCATTCAGGCTCCAATGCTTGGAATAGGCTAAACCTAGCAAAACGAGAGGAAGCACTACATTCACACACCAGAGCCTAAACCCTCAAACTCTCGTTTTGTTTCGCTCTCCCAAAATTCCTTCTACACTCCCCCAGCAAATCCCAACCATTTGGACACTGTTGACAACGAAATCTAGTGACCTCTAACATCTTCTCCATCCTAAGTGTTCATACTCCTTCCCTATTGCTCCTCCAGCCGAAGTTTCTTTGGTAAAGATCCTCTTCTGGAGCTAAGGATGAGAACTAGATTGAAATCCAACTCGAACGTCCACTGCACATAGGTAAAAGTTAAACCCTAACTCCCAGTTAGGTTTAGATTGTTTGCATTTTTTCTATCAAATGAAGTTCCCAAACTTCATGTAATGGAAACTTGGGTATGCATGCATTGATATCTATTGAATACTTCATATTAAATTAAATAAAATCCACTATCTCGGCCATCTGGAGGAAGAAGAAGAAATCTAAACTGTCTAGCACATGCATATTCACTTGGACGTTCTACATTTTGTCATACCATGTCCCTGTTCAACTCCCCAGACCATGGTATCGAGAAGATTAAACCACATTCGTCCGATCGATCGAGCGTGGGATCAAATGGCTAATGCATAGGCTGATGTGGATAAGACCTGACTGTCACCAAATCTTGCATCCAGTCATGTTCCGCCACTCGGAAAGTGTAATCTAAGTCAGCACCGCCACAACATTTGATTTAAAATGATTTATTAATAGGTTTTTTAATGCACATAGCTTCACTAAATCATTAAAATTTATTTATGGAGTTTGAATTTGACAAATAAGGGCTCTATGGATTCAGAAAAAGAAGCTCTATAAAGTAAAATTAATTCCCAGTGAATTCCATGAGGGTATTTCAATTGATTTCATATTAAAGGCACACTATTTTTCATTAAATACTTTAGAAATACTTTTCCATTTGACCTCAATTTTGGCTAGGAGATACTATGGGATGTGTTGAGATAGTTGCTACCTAGTTTTGCAAGTTTGATATTCTTGTAACTTGTATGTTTTTTTATGATTACAAATATTATTGATTTGATTAGTATTTCTCCTAAAATATTTTTGGAAAAATTGTTTTGCTCTTGTGTGTACTAACATTTCAGGAAAATCATACTCCGGATTGTCGAATACTTCAAATCAAGATTAGTTTAGATTTTATTGTAATTGAAGTCTGTATTTTTCATTTTATTGAGTCTGAGAAAGTGTGATTGTAATTAACTAAGCACATATATACCGGGAGAGAGTTTTAAAATTCATATTTTTAAACTGATCGTACAGAACGATATAATTTTGTGCAGGACGATTTGATCAGTTATTTTCCCCAACGAGCAGAGATGATAAAAAATTTTCTAAATATAGTTCGTACATACGATATTTTTTTATAGTACCGTGACGAACAGCTCTGTTTTGTCCAAATACAAAGTTCGTACGAACGATAATTAATTTCGTGCAGGGACGATGTCCTATGTTTTGTTCACATATGAAGATTGTACAGACGATAATTAATTTCGTACAGGGACGATGTCCTATGTTTTGTTCACATATGAAGATCGTACGGACGATAATAAATTTTGTACAGCGACGATGTCCACTGTTTTGTTCACATATGAAGATCGTACGGACAATAATTAATTTCGTACCGAGACGATGTCCTCTGTTTTGTTCACATATGATGATCGTACGGACGATATTTAATTTCGTGCAGGGAAGAAGTCCTCTGTTTTGTTCTCGAAAGAATATCATACGGACAAAATTAAATTTCGTATCGAGACAAACGTCTCGGCTCTAGTTTCGTTCATTTCGTCTCGAAGTTTCGTACAAATGAACTTTAAAATTTTTCTGTTCATATCGGATGAACTTACTTCGTACGGACAATTATCGGGTACGAAATGATTTCGTACTGATTCATAATGAGTTCGTATGCAACAGTTTTTGAACTGTTCTTACGTACGAATATACGATCGTACTGTACGATCGTGTATGTTCAAAATTGAAAATTTCAATTTTTTGGATGGTTTTTCATGTCTTTTATATAAAAGGTCCACTAAAACTTACTTTAAAAAATCTTGTTTACGTGAATTTTCAAGGGCAATTGAAGAAGAGAGTGTTGGAGAATATTTGAGAGAGATTTCTTAAAAGTGGAGTGTGAAGGGTTCACAAGGATACTCAAAGGTAAGGATCTCCTTGTAATTCTAAATTGCTCGTGAGAAGATCTTTGGATAAGATCCGATTCTCTGCTGACACTTGGGAAGTGTGAAAGGACAACGGTTCTCTGCCGACACTTGGGAAGTGTGAAAGGACGGATGTTCTATGCCGACACTTAGAGTGTGAACAGTCGAAGGTACTCTGCCTACACTTGTAGGGTGTGAAAG